AACCACTGCTGTAATTTCTCTTCTTGTTTCTTTTCTTTTTCCTCTAACAACTGCTGTAATTTCTCCTCTTGTTTCTTTTCTTTTTCCTCCAACCACCGCTGTAATTTCTCTTCTCGTTCTTCTTGTTTTTTTTTCTTGTTTCTTTTCTCGTTCTTCTTGTTTCTTTTGCTGTTCTAGTATTGCTGCCATCAAATCTACTAAGCTGTAGTTTGATTTTCCACCTCTCGTTTCCATCTTCTTCTTTTTTATTTTCTATCCCATTCTCTGACACCAATTTGTTACGCCTCCGTTTGTTAGTTGATTTTCCGTAAAAATTCTTTCCGATGAAACTTTAGCGACACAAGTCCTTTCTTAAATAAAACTGGTTTATTCTTTCCGAATACAACTTTGCAATACACTTAATTTCCACAATTGCGCTATAACAAACGCTATAATTCACAACGAAAGTCTCACGTGCTCGACTCAACAATATTCTCTCTCTGTCCGCAGTTCAATTACACAGCATTACATTGTTGCTGTCAGTTCTTACCAGTTTATATATACAAGACTACCGCATATCTAGTAGGTTCTCGAGATTTCAGGAAGGGACGTGAACGTTTGAGAAGTGCATGACGTGTTACTAGATTCACGTGACCTCCGCTGTCGTAACAATATAATCCTTTCTTAGTAGACTATACAGTTATCCTAATTCCTATACTACCCAATCTCCTAGCTTAATATATAACTATCAGCCTGTCATTTTGTTCAACTGTTTATTTTCAGGATGTCTTCTTAAATTTACTGACCATATACTTATCTTTTAATAGAAGAATCATACTCAGTGTAATAAACAATATTGAAATATTTGATACCCCACACTTTAACATAACAAGGAATGTAGAGACACATTTATAGGAAAAGGTGATCCTATTGGTTGCACAAACAAGGTGAAATATAAGATAGTGTTAAACAGCAGTATACCTATAGCACAGAGACCCAATAGAGTGTCAGTGAAACATAGGGTAGAGTTAAAAGCATGACTAAAGGATATGCATCTCCAGTTGTTAGTTTCTAAAAAAAGTTGTTAAATTAAGGTTCTTTGTTGTTTTATAACCCTAAATTATATAACTATCAAGGATGCATATCCATTACCAAATACATAAAAGACATTTTATAGATTTTTTGTCTATGGACTTGCAAAGCGGCTACAAGAGAAGATAAAGTTAAAACAGCATTTACATTTCTGTCCAGGAAGTATAAGTTCAATAGAAAGACTCGTTTTATGTAATGCTCCTTCACAATTTCAGAGATTAATGGATGTAGTATTGTCAGGACTACAATGTTTTTGTTGCTTAAATGAAATCTTAATTTTTGCAGCAAGATTAAAGGTACACTTAAAAAGGTTGAGGCATGTATTTCATAAAGGCAAATATGAAATTAAAGCCAACCAAGTGTCAATTCCAAAAAAAGAAAATAGATTATTTAGTTCACATGGTAACAGCAGAAGGTATAAAACTTGACCTGAAAATTTAGAAATATTTAAAAACAATAAAGTACCAAAGACAGTCAAAGATATTCATGACTTTTTAGGCTTTGTAGGATTTATCCCACACTCTGCAGTGCATGCAAGGTTTTGAAGGAGTTAACAAAGAAGAACATAGGTTTCCAGTGGACAGATAAAAGACAGGAAACATTTTAAAAAGTTAAGAAACTTACTATTTAAAGCACCAATTTGAACTACCATGATTTCAATAAAGAATTCATTTTAAACCCAGACATTTCAGATTAAACAATGGAGCAGTCCTATCTCAGTTAGACAGAGATGGAAAGGAATATCCCATAAATATGTATGTCTATTGAGGTAGACTTTCGCAAGTTGAATGTTAGTGTTTTTATGTTCCATAGATAAGATATAATCTGTTCTTTCATTAATAGTATTGTTTGGAATGTTTAATATTTCCAATTTTGTTACTTTTTAGAATTAACTGTTATACTTTCATTATAAAGATTGTTAGCTCAGTATATGAATCTAGGCCTAGCCAAAATCTTCTAAGCTGGCCTGTCCTCACAGGATATTATTGGGTTTACAGCCAAAGGTTTCATTAACCTCTGAGGTACAACAACAAATTCTAATCTTTATAAGATATTGTTACGTCTCCGTTTGTTAATTGATTTCCCATAAATTCGTTCCGACGACACAAGTCCTTACTTAATAAAACTGGTTTATTCT